CTTAATGAACACATCCTTATAGATTTAAAACTTATCTTTCTCACCTTAAAGTTAAGATTGAGAGTTGAAGTGGAGGCCTAACTATTCTTTAATACCTTCTTCTCATTTTCACAGTAGGAGAAATGGGAGTAGAGATGTGGGCTTAATAGCTGTTTCAGCACGAAGTGAACATAATAGAATACTTCGTGCCTATAAACTTGGACTTTGAAACCTCATTGCCCATTTTTATTCCTAGAAAGTGTGCAAAAGAATAAGAGATACCATTTATTGTGTACTTATTATACACCAACCATTGTGCTTAGGTACTCTGTAGGCACTGAGTCATTTGATCACCAGATGGGTATCTGTATTAGTCCATTCTTGCATTGCTATTAAAAAAAGCCTGAGACTGGGTAATTTATAAAGAAAAGAAGTGTAACTGGCTCACAGGTCTGCAGGCTGTACAGGAAATATGGCAGCATCTGCTTCTGGAAAAGCCTCAGGAAGCTTTAACTCATAGCAGAAGGCAAAGCAGGCTCAGGCACTTCACATGGTGAAAGCAGAAGCCAGAGAGTGAGAACAACCAGATTGCTGGAGAACTCACTATCATGAGGAAAGCACACAGGGGGATGGTGCTACACCATGAATCAGAAAGCCGCCCCCATGATCCAATTACCTCCCAGCAGGCCCTACCTCCAGCATTAGGAATTACATTTCAATATGAGATTTGGGTGGGAATACACATAAACTCCACTCCCAGCTTGCCTAACGGATAAAAAAATAAATAAGTGACCTTACAAATATGACTCAGGCCAAAATCAGAGACAGCAGACATTTTTAAAGATACTCAGGCTGGGCATGGTGGTTCAGGCCTATAACCCTAGCATTTTGGGAGGCCAAGGCAGGAGGATGGCTTGAGGCCAGGAGGTTGAGAACAGTCTAGGAAACAAAGTGATAATCTGTTACTAAAATAATAGAATAAAAAATAGTCAGTCATAGTGACACATACCTGTAGTCCCAGCTACTCAGGAAGCTGAAGTGGGAGGATCTTCCGATTCCAGAAATTTGAGGCTGCAGTGAGCTATTATGATTGGACCACTTCACTCCAACCTGGAGAACAGAATGAAATACTGTCTCTAAAAGTAATTAACTAATAAGATAAAAAAATTAATTTTGTTCTGGGATTTTATTTTAACTTCAGTTTAGAATCAGTGGGTGTATTTGACCTCTTGCCAGAACCAATTATCAATCTGGTGAGGCAGAATGTTCATTTCAATGATGGAAGAGGTGACAGTAGCCCCCGACACAGTGCTACCTACCAAGGAGCATTAGGGTGCACAGCGCCATGTATCTGCATAAGGCTGGCCAAGACAATTTGGGAGCTCTTTTCATTGTAATTTGGGAGCTACTTTTTGCTCTGGTTGCTTTGCTAACTTGTAGTGTCAAAATATTGTCATCTATGGATGAGATTCAGAGAACATTAAGGATGATAAAAAGAGTTAATCAGGCAAAGAAACCTGAAAGTCAAGGAAAACCAATAATCTTAAAGACCATTTGTTAATTAGAGTAGACTCTATAAACAGGAATAAAAGACTGCAGAATAAACAATTTATTTTCTAGTGAGACTGGATTTGTTCACCTAATGGCTGCACTGTTTCTGTTACAAGTAGGAGATATGTAGGACACTTGTTCTGAGATAACCTCACCAGCTGACTTTCTTACTTTTTCATCATTGTTAAAAATCAGATTTTCCAATGACAGTCCTTTACAGATTTTTTAAAAACACTATATTCAGAAAATAGTTTTGATCTTATTACCCAAAAATTCTTGTACAAGAATACTGCTGGTATCAAGCCAGACGTATTTGGAAAGCTTTGAAAACCCATGCAGGAAAGTACATAGTTTCTGTAACCACACAGCTGGTGGTGGCCCCTTCTTCAGCTGTCCTACTGGGAAATCCAGGTGGAGCGCAAGTGCAACCCAGGTGAGTACAGGGTGAAGCTGGGATGAGAGCAGATGTGGCTTTAAGTTCAGGCTGAATCCTCTTTGGGGTATCATTGATCTTTCTTCACAAAGCTGCCCCACGTTCTTGGAACCAAAGAAAAAAGAGCTACAGGGTTACCAGAAAACACTCAGGTGACCTAAAGTTACCCAATTCTCCTTTCATAGTACAAATTCTTTCCCTAGCCCCATTTTCAGAGCATATACAGAATTTTCTCAGTTCCATACGGCAGCCTGCAATCAAACCTGGTAATGTATCCTAAATACCTTAAAAACATATTGAGAAATCTTTTCAAATGGGAAAGGTCCACAAACAACATTAGATACCATCAACAAGGCCCTTGGACCTCACAAGGCTATTATTGAGAAAACAAACTCCCTGGACTCTACTGAAACAGGACAGTGGTTCCTATCCAGAGGCAGGGTGGCCCGAGACGCTTTCCACCTGCTAGCCCTCCAAAGATGGTTATTCCAGAATCAGGGAACATTTTAGATCCAGCCACAGAAAACTAGCTTAGCAGTCAGCTCTGGATGCAATATTTGGATGTGCCAGTTAGAGCTGTGTGGACTTAGGATAAATTCTCTAACCTTTGAGTCAGGGATTAGGATAGTCTGCACAGTTAGGAATGTCATGAGAATTAAACGAGAGACCATCTGTGAGGTGCTTAACCTGCTGCTTGTCTCTCAGTAAGCACAAGGTGAATAGAGGAATCATCCAGATATCCCTGGCCTCAATTTAAGACCACAGTAGCCTCCATGTTGATGTTTACTCTGGTTCTAGGTTGTCAGCTAAAATCTGGGGGAGGGGGAAGATCCTTCAAACTCTAGGCCCAAGAATATCTGATTGCAAATGGTTGTAGCACCACTGTAAAAACTGAGAGGGGATTTTGAATTCAGACCTGAATGGAAATCACTTCTCCTTCACTAATTGCTGTCTTAGGTGAACATGGCCAGTTCAACCTTTTAACTTGTTTGCTTGTTTACACAAAGAGAATATTACCTAATTAAGGGGTTCAAAGATTTACCATGTAAAGTCCTTAGCACAATAGCTACCATATCATAGGTGCTCACTTCATAACTACTGAATCCAATTGAAAAAGTGCTAAATAACTGCAGTCATTTTTGTATATAGAAAGAAGCAAGTAAGTTAAAACTGGGACCAAAAGATAAACTTGGATCAGATAATTTTCAGACACCGATGAATATACACATTCTGCCTTTAATAAGGTAAATGTTCCAACAAGCCTATTAAGCTATGGCTCACAGTTCATCTACTTCACCTGTTCAGATTTCTTACCCTATTCATAAGAATTGTGCCAGGTAAGGTGCACACTACTTAAAATTATTAATTTTACACTAAATTAACTTCCTCCAATAAGGTAGAAAAAAACAACTTTTTGATAACCTATAGAATACTGCTATGTTGTGTGTACTTTCTCCCCCCACTTTTTTTTTCTCCAAATTTAGAAAACAAGGACAAAAGCTAAGCAGGTGAGGGAAGCAGTAAGTGTCAGAGGAAGAAACTGAATGCAGGTGTGTCTGAGCTAGGCTACCTGTGTTTTTGCCCTTTCTGTCTGCTGTGAACTTTCAGTTTCTCAGGATTACTCAAGAGCATGCCTTTTAAAGAGGATTCTCAGGAAGCCACTGTTGAACTGACAAAGGCCATTTACTGCCATTCGAAGGGAATAACAGGTTTAGTCCGTGATGAGTTTCAAATTAGGTATCACTTTGCTTTTCCAGTGGTGATGAAAAAGCAAAATTCACTCCAATACAGTGACTACTCTCTGCTTGAAACACTCCAGGTAGTTACTTTTTAAATTATGATTCACCTTCCTTTTCCTGTTTTGATGAACCATGAAAATGAGACTGAACCATCCCGTTCAGTAAAAAGCTCGCGTTTCCACCCCGCAAATTCGCTCTATAATGACAGTCTAATTGGCTGAAGCGCAGGTGGGATTTCCTGTCGCCATTTTAAGAAGACACAACTCCTATAAAAGGAAATGCCCAGCCAGTGAAAGGGGGCTGTGTCTGACACAAAGAGTAAGCGGGGAAAAAAAGGGAACCAGGCCCAGTTGCCTCCGCTCCCCTCCATCCCGCTCCCTCGTCCCCCAGACTTGAAGTGCCCCAGCTCCGTTAACCTGGACGCGCCAGGTGCGTCTGGCGGAACCAAGTGGGGTCACCAGGCCCTCCAAGACCTAGCCCCCTCCTCTTCGCGCCTAGACAGGTGCTCTCTCGGCGCTCAACAAATCCTCCTGGTCGCTTCACACTCAGTCCCCAAAGCAGAGCTCCACGGGGCAGAGCTCAGGGAGGGTTCGCCAGGTCTGCGGGTGCTGGATCCGGAAGAGGGGAAGTGCCTCCTGTTCAGGTGAGGGACAAAGGGTTTCCAAAGGTGCCCGAGCTCCGGGCTCACCCTGCCACTTCGGTCCCCTTCCTGCCAACCCGGCCATCTGCGGGCCGTCCCCAGCGCCAACCCTCCGCTCCAACGCTACGGGTAGTCCCGGGCGCTGTCCGCGGCTCTCCAGGCTGCGCTCGGACCCGCCACTCCGGCGGCCATCCTCAGGCAGCTCCCCTTCCCACAATGCAACTCCCTCGCTCCTTCGGCCCCGGCGGGGCTCTGGAGTACGCAAAACGCAGGCCCCAGCCGAACGCACAGCCCTCCTGTCCCCCGCCAGGGTCCCTTTAGCAGCCGTACCCCCATCCCTAAGGGCTCGAATTTTCCAGCTGCCGCCGCAGCTGGATTCCGAACACGCCGCCGGGCTCTAGGAGGGCGAGGGCAGGTGCCAGGCGGCGCGCAGCCTCCTCTCCCAGTGCCACCTTCCGTGCGCCGGGCACACGCGCGCCCCGCAACCCCTCCCTCACCCTTTCCCCGATGCTCAGTCTCCGCCAGTCGCGGTCGCTGCATCGTCAGGGAGCGGCGAGAGGGAGGCAGCAAGGCGCGGCCGCCAGCAGTGACACCATGTGACGGGCACGGCTCAGTGACACGAAGCTTTGGTTAAAGAGCGGGCGCACAGGAGGGGAGGAGACGGCGCGCGGGACGGGGAGGAATGGCCTGACTGTCCCTGTTCAACCATCACAAGCCATGGTTGCGGAAGGGCGACGTGCCCCCCAGTAGAATGACTCCGATTCCTGACCCTCAGTGCCCGTGCTTGTCGCTGTAAGTGCGGGGCCGGAGAGTAGAGTGTGAGTGGGGGTTGCTGGTGAGGGGAGATTCTGATGCAATCCGCCCCGAAAGGAGGAGGAGAGCCGGGCAAGCGCGGACTGGAGCAGCCACGCCACTCCGCCTGAAGGTCGCCAGGAGCCTCCGCCCTTCACCTTCCTCGGAAATCCGCCAGGCCATGCCAAGCTCCCTGCCCAGGCTTCACTGACAGGGGCCACCTTTTCCCGGCCGCCCGCCGCAGCCAGACCTTGACACAAAGGACATCAAACTGCTGAGGGTGAAAATCCCGAAAGGGATTTTCACAACGACTTTCGCCACCTTTCCCCTTATTTCCGGAGGTAAGGTGGTTTTCAGTTCCTGGGGAGGGCTGGGCGAGCGGCAGGGGGATGTTTAGATGTGGGAGAAAGCGGTAACGTAGAAACCATCCCTGCGGGCGTGAAAGCAGAGAAAGCACGGCTGTGCCCGAAGCGTTTAGATGTTGCTTTTAGGAGAAGAAAAGTCCAGGTCCCCTGTGTTTCCCGAACGCACGCGGTAGCGCGAGGAAGCGCCAGAGCCAGCGAGTTCACCTTTGCGTGGGCTGTGGCTTACTTTTTGGTTTGTTTTCCTGTGGCTTTGGTCTGTTTCCCCGTGGTTGTGGCAGCGTGTGGGACTAAATCTGGTTCAATTTTTACAAGGGCCAGGAACGACGCAGGTCTGTAGCGAGAGCGCAGCTTACTCGAGGACGCGACCGTGTTCTAGGAGTGTTTGAATCCCTAACCTTCGGGGGAAATTTCCTGTGTCCGCAAGGCCCAGAGGAGAGTGTGTGATGTCCCAGGGGTGCTGCGAGCACGTTTGCCATCCCTCCTGGTGCCCTTCCCCTCTGTAACGCGGGGAAATAGGAGGGCGCGGGGAGAAATTACTAAGGGATGCTTGCAGTGACTCACCGTCCTTTCCTGCCCTGAAGAGGTTTTTTTCTAAAATGCAGAGCGTGGCAGGGGATAGTGGTAGTGTTGTTTTTTTTTTTTTTTCCACCCCCCCCCCCCCCCCCCAGAGCCGGAGTCTGCTGGAGCCAGCGAACAAAAGGCCACCTCTTGCGCGGGCTTGGTCTCAGACTGTGCTCGCTTCTAGTCCCACCTCCCCCCAACCCCCGGCACCTAGCTAGCGTTCCTAAACATTGCCACAGAGGCCTTTAAACGCGTGGGTAGGTGTTGGGAGGAGAGCGCACCTTCGCCCTTGTTCGAGCTCCTCGCTCCCTAAATTATCTACCGCCCGGCGCAAGGGGCTCCTCAGCACCCACTGGGACCCTGCAGGTTACCGGGCTGCCTGGGCACGGATTCCCTGCCAAATCGCTCGCCGGTGGTTTGTGCTGAACTGTAGTCAGAAAAGGCACAAGTGCATATGGCAGCAAAAGGAATTTCGCGGTATCCGCGTCACGCCGTTCCCAGTGCCTTTCACAGGCTGCTTTGGTCTGGGGAAGGTGGTGCTACAATTGAGAGTCCTTTGTCTTGCTCTGCGGCGCGGACCCGGGTTTTAACAACCCTCTTTCTCCGTTAGAAACCTAACTGCCGCCAGGATCACGTACTTTCTCAGAGGAATCCACGGTAATGTGTGTAGTAAAAGTGAAAAAAGATGCCTCTGCTAGAAAACGGTATTCATTTGCGTTTGGCAGGGGTTTTGACATCTCTGCAGTGGGTTTTTACATTTTTTAATATAAAGGGGAGAAGGAAAATAAATTTATGGTTTGCAGAATGCACGGCCCAGCGAGGGTGTAATTTGTCACCTTGATAAAAGAAACTGTGCAGCAACTCGTGCTTTTTCTGACGTCAGAAGGACAACGGAAATAAAACCTGAGCTCGGTGCATGGCTGGCCTCGTTGTCAAACATCTCATGCCCGTTTGGTACTCCCGAAATCTTGCAAAACAGTCAATTCCGGGGTACTGATCTGGCATAGACCCCGTGGATTTTGGTTCGACCCCAGCCTCAAAATAGCCTTCTCCTTAGAGTCACTTGAGTTCTCAGTATGTCGTAAGCAATTGGAGACCAGCCTAGTTTGGTTTGAGGTCTTAATCTTGGGGTTTATTTGCTTTTTAAAAAAATGTAGCCAATAAACATTTTCTACAGAGGGTTTACCGTATAACTGGCAGCAACTAACAAGATTTGTTTCGCCTTCTGTGAAGCTTCCGTTCTCGGGAAGAAACAGACTATATAAATGTAGGCATATAAATTTCAGGTATTCTTAGTGCAATGAAGAAATAAAACCGGATCATGTGATGGGGTAGGATGCCTGAAATAGAGTGACTCACCAGGAGGGCCAGTGTGAGGGGATAACATTTGTCCTGAGACCCGAATGGTGAAAAGGGATCAAGTATTTCCATAACTGAGGGAAGAAGCCCAGCAGAAGGAACAGGAAGAAGGAAAAACAAGTACTTACTGCACTCTTTGACTCTAATATAATTGAGCTGATGCGATGAATAGATTTTAAAGATGTTTTGGATTCTTTAAAACTATATATATGTTGTTTACATTTTTTTTTTTTTTTACGATGCTCCATGAATTAAGGCCATTTAATGAAAGGAGCACCATGCTTAGGAGGTCTGAAATCTGGCCGTTGCTACTATTTTCTTTACTCTGGGTGATGCCTGAGGACAAAAACCGACTTTACTCATTGTTCCCCTAATCCAGCCCATAGTAGCTGCTTAATAAATACTTGTTGGATTGAGAACTTGGTCAAGCCATCTTGTTTATCTCTTTGTGCTATTATTGACCATCCCTTCCTTTCTATATCTCATCTGTTCCCTTCTCCTAAGTTTGAAATACTAGTCTTTTTCTTCTCTGCTTCTCCTTTTCTTACTACCTTCCCCACTTTGAGCAGTGACCAGGCCCTTGCAAATACCCCTCACACTTGTCCTCTTGTCTTCATTTCTGCTGCCCAAGTTCAAGTCCCTGTCACCTGACCTAGATTTGCAGACATAGGAAACAGATATAGAGGTGCCTTGAACAATCTAGGGGCAGTGGGGGTGGACAATGGAGAAAGATACAAGCACAACACATGGTTAACAGTGAAACAGCCAGTTACTGAGGTGGACCTACATCCCTGTTGGTCTCCTTCACACCATGTTGTGCTCCCCTAATTCAATCTCCATTCTTTCATGAGATTTATATTTCTAAAATTCAGTCACATTTTGTTAAAGGATCTTGCTTCTAAAAACCTCTGTGGGTTTCCATTGCATACAAGGTCTAAATTCCTTGGCCATACACTTGGGAACCTTCGCAATCTGCCTCTTCACCTCTTTCCAACTTTTTCTCTTGACATGTTCTTTCTCACAGTTCACCCTATTTCCTCCTTATCACTTTTTTGCTTCAACATCTGTATGGATTGGATTCTAGTTGAGAATGCCTACTGGAATCCTGTATACTTGTGATGGCCTATACCTGATGCCACTTTGCCACCTCTTTGGAGAAGTGTTCACTTATCACCTCATTGGCATTTTCATAAGGATTTGTTTATCCTTCACATCTTGCATTGTTGTTACTCCAGATGATGGAAGGTGGTGAATAAGGACTTAGGCTCTGAGTCAAATGTAAGTATCAGGCCTCAACTTACTCACCCAGAAACCTTGGGTAAGGTGTTTGGCATCTCTAAGCCTCAGTTTTTTTCATTTGTTAAATGAGACCGATGATGGTGGTGGTAGTGTTGGTGGTACCCATTTTATTGAGTTATGGTAAGGATTTAGTTAAGATAATGGATGTGAAGTATTTGGTACAGTGTTAGCATTCCGTATATATTAAGACTCATCTATCAGAGGAGGGAGAGAAAGTTGATCAGTAAAATTCCCTTTACCTCTGAAATTCTATGACTATGTAATCTTTTAAAAATACTTTTCTGAAAATAATGTCTTAATGGAAACTACCTGAATCCTTTTAGTCTCTGGGAAAATATACATCTATGAAAGGTGGTGAGGAGGTGGGGGAAGTATGTATGCAGAAGTACTTTGAAAAATCTGTGACAGACTTCAGAAAAAGACATCTTGTATGCAGAGGCTGAGTAATATAATGCATTGTGGAGACTCAGAAAGGGGAAGTTGGAGGGAGGATGCAAGATAAAAAGCTGCATATTGGGTACAATGTTTACTACTCGGGTGAGAAGTGCACTAAAATCTCAGATTTCATCACTTTCAATTCATCCATATAACCCCAAATCACTGACACCCCAAAAGCTATTGAAATAAAAAAAAATTTAAGTAAAATTAAAAGATTAGCTTCAATAACCTGAAAAAAGACACTGACCCTAAATTTAAAATAAAATTGTAAATTTAAAAATATTGTACTTATTTCTGAAAATTGATCCCATTTGTTTTCTAGTGAAAACCTGTGTGTTAGGGTTACTTACTAATAGTAGAAGAGTTCCCCTGACCATGTTACCTTCCCAATCACTGAATACACTACTATTAGTAAGTAACTGTTTCAAGTGAGGTTACAATGTGCCTTTGCCAATAACTTGCTGGGTACCCTTGAACAACTCATTTTACATTTTTATGCCTCATTTTGTCATCTGTCCAATGCTAATAATAGCATCAGAGCTGCCTACCTCTCTGAGTTGTGAAGATACAATGAGAGCAAAGTTGAGAAAGTCCTTGAACGAGTTTAAAAAAACTATTCAAGCTGATAGTCATCTGGTGTTAAGCTCACCGCTAGTCTGCAGAGTCAGGTGATGGTTTCAGATTATAAGTGAGTCTCAGACAAGAGTTCACATTAGACTCATCTAGGGTCTTTTAAATGCTATCAATGCCAAGACGTCATCTCCTGAAATTCAAATTTAGTTGGCCTGGGAGGGAGCCCAGATATGGGAGCTTGAAAAAAATCAGGGGTGATTTTGGTATGTAGTGGTTTAGATTTAAAGCAAGGAAAACAAAACTAAATCGGAAATTAAATGAGGACTTCCATATGTTGCTTGACAAAGTCTTAGTATTGTGAAATTATGAGGCTGACTGACATTTCCCCTGATTTTACTAAACTAACCATTTGTTGACATCATGGAACCACAGCCTCAGGTTACAGTTTATAACCTGGATTTTCCCAGGCATAGAAAGAAGCCTGTTCAGTGATACAGCTAGAGCCACATGAAGATTTAATGTGTGGATCTCAGTTTCCATCTCTTAGGAGTGACAAAGGTTGGAAAAGAAAGAGACAATGGAAAGGAAAAAGAAAGGGATAGGCTGTGGACAAAGGTATAGAAGAAAGAAGCTCTGAGCAGGAGACAGGCAAGACAGAGCACAGAGAAAATGTTGTTTGATTTATTAAACTGGTTTTCTTTAGGTTGCAAAATGGTGGCTGGAGGGCCAAATTAAGCCTGTGGGCA